TATACGGGCTAAACCACACCATCTATGTGGGCTATGTGACCATGTGGAGCTCATCAGGGTCGGATGGCTTCACTGAGTGCGCTCTAGAAGAGACCATCAAAACCACTGGGTCCTACCTCAACCACACCGGTCTCAGGTGCTCATCCGCGACGTCGGAGTTCATATATTTGCTTAAACGCCGGAGTTCCAAGCCCAAAGGGTGGAAACCTTCGGCGGAACGCAATATCAACCTCCCCACCAGAGATGGTCGTATAGTTTCCAGGGTAGACACCATCAAGTTCCTTGGTATTATGATCGAGACCCGTGGAACCAATACCAAAGCAGTACGCACGCTCAGGACTAAGACTGGGAACGCCATGCGACTCGTACGTGTAATAGCTAACCGGCTCCGTGGCCTCAAAGAAGACAACCTGCTGCGTCTTATACACGCGTTTGTTTTGTGTCCCTTTACCTATGTATACCTCGCCGCTCTACGCAAATAGCTACGTGAGGAGCACGATCAACTCAATGCCCTTATTTGCAAGGTGGTGAAACGAGCCCTTGGCCTCCCTATCACCACTACAACGCACAAATTCCTTGAGCTTGGCGTACATAACATGCTACAAGATATCGCCGAAGCTCAGGAACGCGTGAAATTTACCCGCTTCACGACCACCAAGGCGGGCTGCCATATTCTGCACGAGCTCGGCCTCTTCTCATGGACGGCCAGAGATCCCCCAAAGTTGACTTTAATTCCCCGTAAATTGCGCGACCTTATCACGATCGCTCTCATTTCACGAAATGTTCACCCCGAATACAAAAGAGGCAGGCGCCTTGCGCGGGTGACCACCATTCTCAAGCGCATAGACATGGAAGCGGACAATGTCTCGTTCGTAGACGCACGCCGCTGCCTATCACAATCACTGGGCCTTCGCCGTGGTCGTTGTATCATGCGCGCAGCAGATTCCTAACTGTGCCACAATCCTCACCCAAAACTCCGAAGTAGCGGAGCAAGTAGCTATAGCTATAGGTAAGCTCGACAGCAAACGGGAAGTCGACTAAAGTGACTTCAGACCGGCCATCAGAGCCTTCGAACGCGGAGTCATCTCCGACCAGCCGTTACGTATCCTGCGCAGCGTGGACCCGAGTGCCCTGAAGCACCACGCCGTGATCTTGTTCCTCACCCACTTCGGCCAGGTGCCGGGTGCCCTATCCAACCTCAACGAGATCGCCCATAATGTAGCGCGTGCACTTACTGACCGCGTCACCACAGGGCAACGCCATCTCGCTGAGATAGAAACCAATCTGGATGCACCCATTACGCACAACGACATCACAAAGCACTGTTACCTTAAGCGCCGCATTTTTCCACCTCCACATTCGAAGCTTAACAGACCGCAAGCACTAACCGTACGCCTATTAGAGACCCCCACGTACTCAAACTTTGCCACGCTTCACGTTAATTATCCCGATGCATACCCCAGTGACACATGCCCCACATGCGGACACACGGCAACACTCGTACATATGCTCTGGGAGTGTAAAAACTCCTTCTGACTCTACGTCGAACAAGTGGGAGAGGTTCCTTGGGAGCCCACTTCTCGCCGACCAGCAAGGCGCCGTCTAGCAGACCCACGAAGCGGCTACCAGGTACTAGCTTTCGGTCCCTACGCAGGAGACGCCCGCTACGTGCTAAGTGCGTCCTGCAGGACTAAAATAATAGTTTTTTTTTTTCATTCATTCGTTTATTTTCACATTTTGGCCTTCACTACACCTTCACTTTTTCTCTCTCAAATCGTTTGAAGCCTTACGTATTTTATTGTCTAATTCTAATAGCGGAGTCGGATCAAGCTTTTCTGTTCCTTCTGAGGACAGCGTGTTCCAGTGACAAAGTGAGGGCGGGAGTCAAGTGTTTGAATGAGAGTATGAGTGAGTTCAGCGCGGGAGTAACTCCGAGGGGCAAAAAAGTTTGATCCACGGAAATCGGTATAGAGGACCGGAACTCGGCGTGCCGTATACACGTCACAGTGACGGGTTGTTTGACCGCTCTGCTAATGAATCCGAATACATTCGTTAGCTTGGGGGTGCTGTCATTGTCACGTGTTTTGGCATTAATTGTTGACGACTTCACTGACTGGGCAAATCAATTTATTGCGGAGTGACATAGAATGACCGCATACGAGTTCAACATAATTCGGCCGTGGAATTAGCGGAATGGAAAAGAACAAGCAAGGTATTGTGAAAAACTCAAGGACTTCAGCTCATACCTTGCTCCCCATACTTGCCCCAGCAGCTCTGGTTCTGCTCCAATCGCGGATTCGGAGGCGTCGCTCTACGCCAGAGTACAGTTCTCACTCGCAGAGTCCATGGGCCGCTCCGACTATCCCATTGTAAGGCGGCAGACGGCTCGGTACGAGGTTAATTTGCTCTGCTCGATGAAGAGAGATCATGCATGGAGGGAGCTCTCGCTATTGAACCAGTGAATAGTTCTGCGCCTTGTAGCCATAATTAGTTTCTTTCTTAAAAGCAAAGCACGCATGTGACGTCTATCGTTTGTTTCTATCTTTATTTACGCCCACACTCCTTTGAAAGCACATGAATCATCTCTTTAAATAGTTTTAAACTGAACAACTGCTGTGAGTGAGTGCTTGCTTATTCATTAATTTTTTCCTGTATTAAGCAGCCTTGACCTTTCTTCGTTGTTCTTATTTTTTAAAACGCAATAATGCCTTTTAAGGAAATAAGTGCGTGTGCATAAAAATTCCCAGCCAGCATTTGCTCTATATCTTTTAACTTAACGCTTCGCTATACCCTCTCTTAAGTATAAACAACTGAAATCTCCAAAATTTTAACGACCAAAGCGTCTTCGGCCTTAGGGACCTACATGTGTGTTACAGCTCTGCTGATGCTATCCTGACGTTCGGTATACTAGTCGCGAAGCAACCGCGAGATACTATATGCAATGGCATGAAGTGCAAGATATCCGGAGCTAAAATTTCTCGGACACGTGCCCAGCTCTTCACTGCAAGACCGACAGAAAGTGTACGTTTTATCTAAGAGGCACAACATAATTTAAACTAAGTATATGGGCATGCTTCCAGTAGTCGGGTTGATTTGTAGAATACATAAACTAGCATAGTTGCAAAAACCATCGCGACGCGAAACTGCTCTTACGGGCTCTTTTCTTTGCACGGAAGAATCCCTTGCAAACAACTTTTCTCCAATAAATTGACCGATATATTTGTTTCGCATATAACGTTTGGTTAGTTATCTCAAATGTGAATTGAGGCATTTCCGCAGCATTTGTGAAATGTTGTTGTGAAGGGTACGCGTGAATGTAAGGCATTAGTAAATGAACGAGCAATAGCCCACAAAACGGCTAATATTTATGTGACCAACAGTGCTGCTTCAACAACCTATCTTGATAACAAGTGGCTGGAATATTTGACGCGGAATTCAACTCGAAGAGGGGAAGCACACGTGTCACTGGACTACACGCTTAATAAGATGTTTTGTGAATTGACATCTGTTTCGAAAAAAAATATATTTTACAGCATAGCTTAGCGAGCCGCGTATATATTAACCGCGTATGACGCAACGTCATTACAGTTGTGTATCATCGGTCTTCGCACTCCCCCATGCCTCGACTGCCTCAGATTCACCAGATTCCGATTCAGCTATGACTGAAACTATACAACTGAGTCCGGCGGACTTATATTTCTTTATTTTATAATAACCCGCACTTTAGGAAATCATGCAGACTACCTTGACCCATACTGCAATGACAGGAGAATCTTAGAGGTCTACGCCTTTCTGCTACTCTGCTGCAGTTAAACAGCTGTCAGCGTCCGGCGTTCCCCCTTGGACTCACTCCATGACAAGTGTATCGTTAAGCAGTTGCGTCTCTTACAACTGCTTTGAATTTGCTGTGCTGTTTTGGTTAATGCTACAAAGAGTGCTCCTAAAGACCTGATGGGTACGGATGCCTCCATAAGAGCGTTTTCGGTTAAACTTTAAAACTGAATCTTCTGTACGTGAAATGCCGGCTGCACTCGTTTATATATACTTCCTAATTAATAGCGAACGCATCAGTAATATAAAATTTATGTGAGTAAAGTTTGTAGCTCAATTGAGATAAGGCGCTCCTTCATTTGGGTAAAATATGTAGATGCCTTCCAGCAGAGAGTTTTTTTTATAAAGCGATTAGGACAGATCATAGGTGATGGTTCATTGGTACGATTCCTACGTTCAGCGCTGTATTTAAAATCCGGGCGAAAACAGGTCAAGTGTGAGAAGAAGAGAAAAAAAAACCCGTGGATGTGAATGCTCGCAATATGCAAAACTCTGCAAAGCACGGTATCACAGCAACGCTTTGGATACGCATGCGCGCTGGAGAGAAACCAGGTTGATTGAGGAGAATCGTTCCTTACGGGCATTAAATGCAATAGAACGCGACGCGGAAAGCTTGTGCGAAGAAGGCAGTCACTGCTCTGAAAAAGTCTATTGACGAACAGTGGCTGTCTGCTGTGCCACATTTTTTGGCTCACGGGACGGCTTTATGCTCTCCCATAGTAGAGTATTAGGTACTCCGAATCGTTAACAACTTTTTCTGAACAACCATCAGCGTAATCCGGCTCTCCATTCTCTCTGCTTATTTTCTTGCGAAGTGTCGTGTAGGAATTATCTGCCGTCGTACGGCGACTGTATCCTAGTGAATGTAGCGGTCATTTCATGTGACTCTAAATGATTGCGGATATCTAGTGTTGCACATATTACAAGCTTTGTAGCACATGCATGAAAGGGTAATATAAATTTTCATTGTTTTAGTCATTCGTAACTTTGCCAGCATATTTCTCAACTGCGCAAGGATGACAGGACGAAAAAGAGGAACGTAGACAAACACACGAGGCTTCTACGTTACTACGTTCTCTGACGTTTCCGCGCCTTCGTGCCCTCTTTATTCGCTCAGTTATCAATTTGCTGAAACGAACCACTAAGGTCGAACACATGCATCGTTTCAGTAACTTCATCTACTGGTGTAGAAGCCAACATCACCAACATCCTTGCCCTTGAAGAGGATAAAAAAGCAGCTGGTAGAAAGACCTCTCGGATGGCCCTGCTTTGGCTGCTGTTGTACCTGGTGCTGATTGTGTTGGCCCTGACAGCGTCCGTGAAGATCTACAGCTTGGTCACCGTGGGAAGATGCACATCGACGCGGGACATGTCCGGAAAGACTGTGATCATCACAGGAGCTAGCAGGGGTGAGCATGTGTTCATGTTCTTCTCAGTAGATATTGATTTGATTGATGGATATAGGGAGTTGAACATCCAAAAACCACTATATAAATATAAGAGACGCCATAGTGAAGGGCTCCAGGAATATATATCGCCTGGGGTTCTTTAACAAGCATTCAAATCAGAGCACACAAGCCTACAGCATTTTCGCCTCCGTAGAAAACGCAGTCGCCACAGACTGGATTCAATCCCTCGATCAGCAGGTCAGCAGCCGAGTACCTTAGCCATTAGACCACCGTGGTGTGGTTTATCAGCAGATATGCAAGGTTAATCGCTTTGCTTTGAAACCAGCGTGCAGTGCAACTACAACTGAAGTAGCACCAACCTTACATCCGCATAGTTCTTTTTTTTTTTCAAAGTAGTTGCAATACGTGGCATTGACCTGCTGGAAAATACGCAAATGCCACGCAAAACGTTTTGGTTCAAGTCCTTCTCAGATCCTTGTTTTTTATATTTGCATTCGTAGGGTCTGCGCTGCCAAGGTCATTGTCTCTTAACGGTCCCCCACGCAAGTTGTGGTACTAATGTCTGTCCTAGTCATTCCGAGATAAATACAAACACTCAATTACATGTGACGCCAACCTACGTACAGTGGTTCTTGGTACACGGATGTGTGCCACAGAGTATTCACAGTTCATATCTACACCTAGAGGAAAGGGTTTGACGGCGTACGCTACAAGATGTTAACTGTCCCAAACTGTGACTTGGCATGAATGCCCCACTTTGATCGAAAAAGCTTGCTTTCAAATTTCCCGTTGGGAGCGCTGGTAGAAGCATGAGCACGGCACCACTCGTGCTCGGCCGCTCTGATTGACGTAATCCTGACGTATTAGCCCCCACAGTTAGAGTGGTGGCACCTGGTGGGAAGCCTGGATGACGTCACGGCAAGGACTCTTCGACGCCCGCCGCTGCGCGCATACATAACATGCGCTCACATTGCACGCTGTTCCGTTGTTCGTGATCATTTCTCGCTTGACTCAAGCTTCAGATGAATGACGAAAGCAGAATTGCTGATGTTCCTAGTAAAATGAAAGAAAAATTTGTTCAGTACAATCGCCAATGGTTACGGTGCTCCACCATACTCACTTCAATCAGGTTTGTGTATGCCGCGCTGAAACTCGAGGATGGGTTTGATTCTCGACTGCTGTAGTCGCATTTCGACGGCAGTGAAGAGCAAGAGCATGCCAGGTGGTCAAAATCATACTACAGCGTGTGTCATATTCAAGTCGCAGTTTTTACAAGTAAGGTAGCATATTTACATTACTATATACTTGCTTCCTTCACGAGCGCTTTCTTTCAAAGATATGTTCTCACTTCGCCAAGACTTGTATGGGACATATGCGTCTATCTGGTGAAGGACTGTTTTTTTTTTGCCTGTGTGCCAAGCTTCACACGCATTTGCAAAAGCCGACGCACTATCGAGGCTCGCAACATATCTTCAATGCGCTTGGCCGTGAACACTACCTCAACTGTTATATTTATTTATTATGTATATACTCTTTCGCTCCTTGTGTATTTTGATTCCACGCTTTTCTAGAAGTGATTTCAGGGCTTCATCTCACTTAAAACTAGTTGAGGTTCTTGCGCCGACATCATGCAGCATCGTAGCAACAGCGCTGCGGCTGTTACGCTAGTAAGTATACTGGTTTAAATAGCCCACTCGTGTATGAATTTTCCTCGCAATTGATAATCTCCAAGTTCCATGAACCTGCACGTGGATATAACGTGAGAAATCAGACACTGATTCATTTAGGCGAAGAACGTTTAATTATCACGTGGTTTACATGAATGAGAGCGTCATCGAAACCGTGCACAATGCTCGCTGTGACCTTCAGGCATTTGCTTTGCGAAGAATTGCTATTAATAGCGTTCCCATGCGAATCAAACATTACCACTTGTGACCAGGTGTTTGATTTGACCAGCAGTTCCTGCATATTTGAATATGAGGCCACATAAGTGCAAGTGACTAACTGTTTAGAAGAAATATTTACGTTATTAAAGTACAGATAACATGTCAGCATTTCACTGAGCATTTAAATGGACCGTACTACTTTGTTCAACATCACTTTTGATATACCTAAAAATATTTTCTTCGCGATTTCATCTAACGTCTCTTTTAGCAGAAATTCCTATTTTGTCAAATAACCCGAATAATATGAATAAAAACAACTATGTACTTAGTGAATTTGAAGCACCATAAGTTTATTTATAATTCTTCGCAACACATGTTCTAACTCCAGAGGGTACGCCAAGTTCTACAGAAAGTTAGAATTATGAGCGTAGAGCTTTCAAGGACTGCTTTCTTGGCATAAGTGGAGAAAGCAACGAATGTCTTGCTGTCATGCCCCACCATTTTCACAATAAATCTTCCGTTTCGAGGAAAGCTTGCCCATCAGATTATCGCAAATTTTTGCAGGTCACATAACTTTCGCTAGCAGTGTGAACAGTGATCTTCTACCTTGGTAGACTTGCATCGCAACGTTGAGCACTTATCCTCACCGTATCGCGTAAGCGCGGGCACGTGGCGGCCACACACACACACAAGAAAAAAGGAGCCGCACGCAGTAGCCACTCTCAGCAAAACACGACGAGGTGGTCGAGCCATTCCGGCTACATAGAGCAGTGGCACTGTTATGCTGGTTTAAGAGACTTTTATTTCCAGATATATCTTACATAGCTTATGTGCACTCAGAAAAAAAAGGCGCTGCTATAATCAAGAGAATTTAATTTCTGAAAAAATCATACATACACTAAAGACATTTATGTGCTACATTGCTCGTTCTCACGACATACTAATATATCCTAATATACATTCCAAAGGCGCAACAGGAATGTTTGTACCTGTAAACAGAAATTCTAACGTGCATAAAGAAAACTATGCTGGTTTAAGAGAATTTTATTTCCCGATATATCTTACACAGCTTATGTGCACACAAAAAAATAGACAATGGTGTTCAATGCGTATGCACAATGCAAGCTGTTATATACAGCGAAAAGAACTTATAGCGTATGCAGTGACGTACAATGCAAAAAGTGTACAACAAAGACAGGACATTCAAGACAACGAGATGATCAAACTTAAATAAACAGTAAGGCTATATGAACAAACAAGGGGGGGTCATTCACAGTGTAGGGTGATGTTTTGCATTCACCTGTGAGGACAGTTTGCTCTCGTGCTCAAGAACAATATTGCACAAAAAGGACATGTTTATCAAGAAGAAAAGAAAAATACACACTGTAATGTCACAGTGGTACTAGCTTTAGCCCACCTCCTCATTAGGGGAGGAAAAGCATGGACACTCTGTTGTTTTTAACCATAATGAATCGCGTAGACCAGCGTCAGAGGAAAGCCTCCTTTCCCAGCATGACTAGTTCTGCGTTGAGATGCATAAGCATTACGTTTGTTAGCCGATGTAGCAGAGAAAACATGGCTCTCTGAGGGCGTCCCTTCAGGCGGACCAGTCCCCTCCTCTTCCATAAGACGAAGGCTCCGATAGCCATTAAGAGTTTGACGGAGTTATCCCCTTGGCTAGACTTCCACTGCATACTGTTTAGAAAAAGTTTATTCTTTCATAGGACGAAACAAACCTAAGAGACAAGCGTCTGTATAACAGGTACAATAACAAACAAAAGACAAAGCACAACATACACTACACATTTAAACTAAAGTGTCCAAGTCCGTAGCATGTCCATAGTCCGCTGTACTAATAACTGTACATATACTACGTAAATGCACTAATCACAATATGGACAATGTACATGATGATATATGTACAGAATTTACAAGACTTAGTGAAGATGTTAGAAAATATGTACAACAGGTATTAATATTCATAAGGGTTACATAAGTTACAGTGTTCGAATGAAATGCATATATAGGAGAGCTAACACACATATTGAACACACACAAACACATAAAAATAGTAAGCACATAGTGATTACATGCACCAATCAGATATTGACAGGTGACCTGGCTATAGGAACCAGGCCAGGTGGAAAACTAATTGAACGCGTCTGTCAACTACGGACAGAAAGCGGCACGACCATTGTCGCAGAAATTCTTCCTCCCCAAGGAAGAACAATTCCTCCGACAGAAACGATATGAGTTCAGAGTAGAGGCGTTCCAGTATTGGAAAAAGAGCACGACGACGATGATCTGCCGCAACAGCTTCGCACCTATTACGCCATAAACAAAAAGCTCCCGCAGCTATTAGAAGGCGTGCAAAGCGACTACGCGGGCAGCGACCAGATGTTACAAAGCGATTAACACCTAGGCCGCGAAAACTAGTGTTAACTGACTTCCAAAACACCTTTGCAATGACACATTGCTGCAGCATATGCTGGTTAGACTCCTGTAACGGGCAGTTAGGACAAGTGGAAGATGGGACCATGCCCCACCTCTCCAGTCTGTCCCGTGTTGGGAGTACTCTCCATCCAAGACGCCACATAAAGTCACGGAGGTGACCAGGCAAAAACAATGCCGTTATCGCGCTCCACGAGACTTGTCTCGATCGTGCTAGACGGGCTGGAGGAACCAGAGGAAGCAAAAGGGCCGCCGTTGTATCTACAATGCGGCTTTCAAGAATGTCCACATCGGGACAAACCTGCTGCGCGTGTCGATAAAAAGATACTGCCGTTGAGTAAAATGCAGGTACGTGAAGTGTTTGTGGTGCAGAATTAAGCCGTGCATCTGGTAGTAAATAGCGTAACTTGGTGCCTAAGAAATAGCAGGCGAGATCACGCGCGGGGCACTGATCACCACGCAACAACCGAAGTAAGAATCGTAGGGCAAGTAGCCGGCAGCGAACAGAGACGGATGGGAATGCGAATCCACCGCAGTTTCTCGGTTGCCCAAGAGCTGCTCGGCAAACCAGCTCTGTTCCACCCGACCAGAAAAAGGAGCCAATGAGGGATTGCAACGACCTGGTGATTTGTAATGGGGGCTGTAAGACATGAGATATATACC